ACATTTTGTATACTTTATACTTGTGTCGTAACTCTGACATACTTCATACCTCTAGGTTGTAACTTTGACATACTTCATACCTCTAGGTTGTAACTCCGACATACTTCATACCCGTAGGTCGTACCTCTGACATACTTCATACCCGTAGGTCGTAACTCCAACATACTTCATACCCGTAGGTCGTACCTCTGACATACTTCATACCTCTAGGTTGTATCTCTGACATACTTCATACCTGTTGGTTGTATCTCTGACATACTTCATACCTGTTGGTTGTATCTCTGACATACTTCATACCTGTAGGTTGTATCTCTGACGTACTTCATACCCGTAGGTCGTAACTCTGACATACTTCATACCCGAAGTATGTCAGAGTTACGACCTAAGGTATGAAGTATGTCAGAGATACAACCTAGAGGTATGAAGTATGTCAGAGATACAACCTATTGCAGTTATGAATGTTATCTAATTAGGTTAAAACTTTTTTACTGACTATGTACTCTATTGCAGTTATGAATGTTATCTAATTAGGTTAAAACTTTTTTACTGACTATGTACTCTAATGCAGTGGTTACCAACCTTTTTCACTCCACAGGTTATTGGGAGTAAACACTGACTATGTACTCTAATCTAACTAGGTTAAAACTTTTTTCAGTTATGAATGTCGTGCTATCAAAATATTAATAAACAATAATAATTTTCATATACTAACCTTTCCAGCTATCATGTAGGCTGGTATAATTTCAATTTCTTGATCTTCTAAATATTGTTTACACTGCATGGTAATGAAGTCACCTGCTAACGGAGACTTCACGATTGCTATAAATGGGAACACAAAACTTGAAGAGGTGAGAAGAATTCTTAATAAACTAATTTAATCTGTGATTATATTAATACTCCACTGTGTTGGACTTATTAACTGTTGCTACAGACAATTAAAAGACAGATGTTTCCAAGACAGTGAATTATCCTTTATTTAAACTTTCTCTTAAACAAAAACACCCTGAAGAAGTGTAGAATAAATGGTTTTCAATAAATTGTTATAACAACAAGTTAACTGCAGATGTTTTCTCTTTCTCACATTCTTCTTAATTTGTTCATTACCACTTAAGACCAGAGACGAGTAAGAAATAGAATTTTGGATCTACATCTTTTCTCTCGCAAGTCACTGTCCAATAAGCTTTTTCTTTGATACCAGAACTCGTCAGTTGGGTTTGATGATGATGAGACAAAGGATTCTATGGAACACTATTTACATATATAATATAATATGATCTTCAATGTCTGTCCAATGAGGACACTATGCTTAGTGCACAAAAATCACTCCACAGGTATCCCGAATTCAAAATTGTTAATATCATAGAACAACTTCACCAGTAGATGGAGTAACACTTAAAACAAAATATGGCATAAAAAATAGGAAGAACTTTTAATTTTGTTTGCCAGCTGACTGATTTTTAAACAAAACAATGTGAAAATAGTATTTGAACAGTTAGTTTAATGAAATGAAATTCAACTACATTTTGTTTTTCAATACTAATATAATCACAAAATCTTTCCCAAGAATATAAAAGTACAGTAAATTTTACTCTACTCTGTAAACAGTCAACAGTTGTTCTAAACTACATATCAATAAGTGTGATATTACACCATAATAAGACTGATGTTAATTACATCACATCCCAATAAGAAACATCAAGTCTTATGGTGTAGGATGCCTTAGCTGGTAAATCATAAGTCACTGGATAAGTGTGATAATACATCATAGCAAGACTAACAAGTGTCAAAAATCTGTAAATAAAAACACAAGGAAGTAGGAATGGGAGCACAAAAAGGTAAGAAAACAAGGTAGGAATGAGTGGGATAACATTACAACACTTAGTAGTTTGACACAGTGTAACCTCAAAATGAGTAAGGCCATCATTTCACCCATTTCTACTTTACGTGCTTTTTTGTAACTTGGTAATTGTTCAAACTAAATGAAAGGTGTATATAGCTAAATGTCTCTGTTGTAAACTTTGTTTCAGCAACCAAGCACAAATACATGTAGGTAATCAAAGTACCTGACCCTAGCGAAATAGTTTCAAAACTGCTGATTTGTGAATTTTTTAATTTATGGAGTATTTAGAAAGGATTAGCTACTGATAAAATTCAATTTAAGTCTATAATTGGATCGCAGTTCAAAGTAAAACATGAAGTATGAATGTGCAGAACAATGGCCACACTCGCTTTGAGGTTCCACCATGTCAAAAACAATAAAGTGTTGTAATGTTATCCCACCCATTCCTACCTTGTCTGCTTACTTTTGAGTGCTCCCATTCCTAATTTTTCAGTTAAACTTTTTTTATACTTGTCTCACAGCATTTTTTTGTCTCAAGAATGACTGGGCTTTAAGCCTATCCTTCTAGTACTTTTTCACAGAGCTATCTCTCGATATTTCCTGGCTTTTGTTGATATCTTTGCTATAGTTTTTCTTCCATCTAGCCAAGGTATGGCTAAGGTTTGTTTCATATATTCAACATTACTATTTCTAACCATATCTCTATTCTTCCAGTGATGTTCTCTTTGCTGGGACAAAGACTTTTCAAAGTTATCAACATAAGATTTCCTCCTTTTCTTTCATTTTGTTTCCTTAAAAGGCATGTTTTAAAAATTTCAACTGCAACCTTAAATGTCAATAGGTCACACTTAGTTTGAAAACAATCTAAAGGTATTATAATACAACTTATTGTTCTTGTTTTCAGTCAAAGCACTCAAGCAAAGCTGTGTCAGACTTTGGAAGTGGTAGCGTGCGTCCTCACTAAGGAGACTCGTGTCTTAGGCACCGACTACTATGACAGAATTGCTTTGTCCAACACAGAACTCTCAAGTCAGATGAATAGAATTGAAAATTTCACTTTCAAAGATTAGATCACAGTTAGAACTTAGATCTAGAGAATCTAGGTAGTCCGCGTTTTTTAAATCTAGCTGATACAGCTGCATGCTGATCATGTAGAACATGCGCATAAACTATCCTGCACCCGTACATGGTATGAGGGCAGGTTGTTACTTGGCAACTTACAGAGCATGCTCGTAATCATAGAATATAAGTACTAGTGTACTGTTAGTTCATTAGTAGTGTTACAAATAGGTTATTTTTATTACTTGTTATTACCAAGGTTATAAGTAAAACTAAGAAAAATCCTTTTAGCCAAGGTAGCATAATTCAATCATGTGCATTTAAATTTGCATAAGATGAAGGCAGGAGAGAGCTATACCTTTCCAAGAACATTAGTCAGTCAGACTGACAAATTTGTGGTTTGGTGAATTTTTGTTTTTACTCTACTGACTTTCTCAACTGCTTTGGTGGCTTGTTGCTCTGCAGTTGGTTTGTTTAGTACACAACAGTGTGTGTAAAGTGCTTATAAAGTTTTGTTTTCATGCCGTTTGCATTGTGTTTGAGATTTTAATTTGTACTGCACATCTGGCCCATTCCTACTGCAAGTACTACTGTACTTATGATAATAGTCAAAACCTTCTTCACTGGTCCAAGATTAAAGCATGATATCATATTACACCTACTACCGTAAAAAGATTCTCACTTCTTTTAAACTAAACGAAGACCTGGTGAACTGCCTAATCTCACCTTGTGTCAGAACATAGCCATCATGAACAGGAACAGCAGAGGTTTGGCTAGCACCACTGTCAACAATGATACCTGTGGATCGACCATTGGCAAACGCTGCTAAAACAGCATTCTTCACCAGAAAGAAAGCAGGGATATTGTACTTCTCAAACATGAGCTCTGTTAGCCTTTCACGTTTTCCACGAACATTCCACTAGAAATTAAAAAAATATAATTGTAGAGAGTCAATATTTTGGTGAATAAATCCTGTTCAATACAAAGTATATACAACTTCAGTTTAGAAACAAGAGCCTTTCAAACATTCATGTCACTTGTGTACATTTCTCTACATTAAATGAGACAGTGTGTAAAAAACAAACCAGATAGACATACAAGGTGATTATAATCAAGTAACATCTGTAACTCACCGGTGCTTCAGACATCAACACTGGATGTTCATGGGGTGCTGATCTGATGTGTCTCGTGAATACATAGTCCATCATTTTTTCAAAAATATCCCAGTCTTCAACTAAATGATGAAATATTTAATCACAAAATATTAATGTTATCTAACTAGGTTAAAACTTTTTACTGACTATGTACTCTACTGCAGTTATGAATGTTATCTAACTAGGTTAAAACTTTTTTACTGACTATGTACTCTACTGCAGTTATGAATGTCATCTAACTAGGTTAAAACTTTTTACTGACTATGTACTCTACTGTGCAATGTAAAAGTTTTTAACATTTGCTGCAAGAGTTTACAGCAAAGTATAAAAAACATTATTAGTGACTTCAGGTACATTGGTCTTCCTTGTCCATTTAGCAGACTCTCCTTCCTTGACCGCTTCCTGAAAATTGTTAGTATACAACGTTTTAATATTTCTGTCTATTTTATGTGGTGAAGTTCTCACAATTTAGCTCTTTCATTGATTGTTTCAAACTAACAGTATATATATTTGAGTTTAATCCATTTGAAGTTTCATTAATTATTCAAAAACATACTCTTTTTATCTCATATCAATTTTTTAAAAGGGAACAACTATCATTTCGTCAGAATTACACCACTGGAAAAAAAAAAGAGGTGAAGAGTTGGCATAACTACATGGTGAAGGTAATACAACGAATCTGTGTTCTTAAAAATATCTTGACTGGTAGAAGTGTGTACTACTTATCTTGTAATGATAGCTGTTACTTTCAAACCTAACCTCGGGACAAGAGTTACTTGTATAGAGTTGGTTAATACTTTTATCTTACGAAGTTAATTCATACTTAAGTTTAATGCATCTTGTAGTACCAGTTTCATATTGAATGCCCTTGTTTAAAGGATACTAGCAAGAAGAGCAGTTAAGAAAATCAGGTTCTGACAGTTTTCAGTTTGGTGATATCGCTCTAGTTACCTACATCACAATGATATAACTATAGATATCTGCATCACAGTGATATAACTATAGGTACCTACATCACAATGATATCACTATAGGTACCTACATCACAATGATATCACTCTAGGTACCTGCATCACAATGATATAACTAGATACCTGCATCACAATGATATAACTCTAGATACCTGCATCACAATGATATAACTATAGGTACCTGCATCACAATGATATAACTATAGATACCTGCATCACAATGATATCACTCTAGGTACCTGCATCACAATGATATAACTATAGATATCTGCATCACAGTGATATAACTATAGGTACCTACATCACAATGATATCACTATAGGTACCTACATCACAATGATATCACTCTAGGTACCTGCATCACAA